ACTGAAGCTTGGTAACTTGCATGAGGACAATCAAAGCATCAAAATGAGCTAAAATCTGATCCCAAGTATAGGCTCTCTCCTTCAAAGTACCTCTCCATTTGTAGTTGCCTATTTGAGATTGCATTAATTAAATCAAAACAAATAGACCAAATATTGAATGCTTGAAATCATATTGACAAAGGAATCAATTGGTATAGACAAATAATTGATTATCTTCATAATATAATATATAGCACTGTCAAACGGAAAATAAATTTTGTTACTCTGTTCTGTGGTTAACAGTATAATAGTTGAACAACAATAACATCCAGGTTAAAAAAAATCAGGGTAATTTTAAAACAAATATACTCTAGGCCAAAATTTTCCAAATTTTCTTTGATTAAGGCACCGTTGATGGCTCGATAATTGTTTCACGGAATTCTTAAACACAAAGGAAATATCAAACTCAATTTTATTTAGTAAAGTCCAAACAGCTTATCTGTGATAGTTCACATAGTATCCAGTAGATGCCTCTGTATTTTCTCTACATTTAAAAAATATCCTGTGCCCCTATGAATTACCTATAGCACCCTGGGAACCTTGGCACACAGTTTGAGAACCATGGCAGCAGGCACATATCCAAGAGTACTTGGAAAATATTCTGTATCTGTAGCTATATTACATATTCAGTTTGATAATTTGAGCCACTCTTTTACTATCAAGCCAGCCCTTTTTAAAATTGTTTTATAACGTATATAGAAAATGTGTTATTTTATTGGATTTTGCCATTCATGCATAGTTTTTAAATTTCTACATAAAATATTTTCCTGTTAAATTTTCTAAAGCATCTAATGCAGTTACAATTATATGACTGGGAACTTTAAATCCAAATAGAAAAGAGAAGGGCAGAGGACTGCAGTTTCTGTTAATAAGATAATCACCTACACCTCTAATTTCTACCTCTAAAATATATACTCTGAAGAAACAGCAGTGATCCTAAACATGGAGTGCAAAGAAGCCATGTGCTACAGAAAGAGGCCTGGAATGAGAGTCAGAGAAAGTGTTTTTGACCAACCTTTTATCCATCAACCACCTTATCTCCAAAGTTTCTCTCAAGTATAAAATGTTGGGCTGACACCAACATGACCATTCAAAATTATTTTCCTTTAAAGTCAATTTTTTTGTAAAGTAGGATTTGCTCTAGAATGAGCAAAGGAAGTATCTTTCCAAAAACATAAAACTGTTCTACAGGTATCAAAGCCATTTTTATTTTATTTCAAAAATATGTATCTGTCACAAGCCTCACGGCTCACATATTGAAGTCTTTGATAAATAACTTAGGATACTACTCAGACTTTCCAGCAGGGGCAAATGGACTGTGTTCTTGGACTCTTTAACCAATCACTGTATACTTGAACCAATTCATTTGTACACCCAGTTATTTCATAAATGTAGAATTGCAACTTTAGTTATGTAGTTGTTCAAACTTCAAGGGCTGCAATAATTATTTTCTGACTAAAATGAGCTGTTATCCACAAATATAATTTAGAATAGAGACTTCTAATTATTTGTTATAAAATCTGGGGTGTGTTTACATATAGCAACTAAGTTGACAGTTTTAATAGAACTGAGATGTTCAAAATATAGATTATTCAACTAATTTTTTCCTTTCCCTGAATGAACTGATCTCTGAATAATGGTGACTGTTTAAACCAGTGTTCTTATATAATTATTTTAAAGTTCTCTATTTTATACACACACACACACTATATATATATATATATACATACATACATACATGGAGAGAGAGAGAGAGAGAGAGAGAAGGGGGGATTTCATTCAAAAATACACGTCATTTACACCTCCTCAGAAGTTTTCAAGTATTTTTAGGATTTTAATAAGTAAGGAAAGTAATAACTAGATATGGATCCATGAAGAAGTGTGATTTCATGCCTAATTTCATTAATACCAAATGCCCAAACAGAATCTGAGATTCTGCTAATATTCCATCAACATTTGTGAACTGATCCACATACTCATGAAAAAGAATGGACAGCAATATTTTTTACAGTTTCTTTTCTATCTGTCTAGTCAATTTTCTCTGATGTGCCTGGCTGTGCTGCTATTAATTTATTCTTATATTGCTTAAATGATGTGCACTCTAGCAGGCAAGAGAGGCTCAGCGATCACATTTTGTGGGTTTCTATTCCATACCACATTTCAGCTATTATATATTTCTTAAAGAAAAAAAATATCTTCATGTCTAACTAAAAGCTTCTGTTCCAGAAACAGGAGATGTTAACTCAATTTAAAATGATTAGATTCCTTTAACTGTGTTTTTATTTTTTTTTTCTGTTGAGTACATTTAAAGTTTCTAGTTTAGTTCCACAGATTTTTAAATGTATTTCATTTCATGAAGGCATCTAAACAGGAAAATTTATCATCAGTATGCTCTATGAATGGATTGATGAAAAGTATCTAAGTTTTTAATAGCAACAAATAGTGTACCTTTCATATTTGCTTGAAATTGAAATTGAGAAGGATTGCTCGGTCTCTTTCATTGAAGAATATGTAATAAACTAAAATAACTGGCAACTAGAAAAGTCACAAAGGGTTGACAATTATGAGGGGAATAAATCAGGAAGTCCCACTAAAGAGCGGAAATGGCACAATTTCTTCTCCTACGTCTGTTCCTTTCCTGAAATGTGATCAGGGAGGACATCGTCTGGAATACTTTTCACTTCCACCCAGTTCTTTATTCAAACTGACTCAACATGCCAGGGGTCAAGGAGGGTGGCACTTTCTTTTGCTACTGGCTTCTGCTTAGTTCTAGAGTTTGGTGTGATGCCAGTTTCAAGCTTGCCAGCAGCTGCAAAACCTTTTTTCTATTTTATTTCCAAGGTTACAAAAAGAAGTGGTATCATTTATAAGTTTAAGCACTGAAAGTATGAATACCAAATGGTTAATATACTAACAATTTTGGAAATGGAAAAAAATTCTCCATTCCACATTACATGAACAATGAACAAATTTAGTATGCCAACTCTGTCAATGAGAGTGAGGTAGAGGCGTTTGTGACCTTTTCCAGGCCTACAGTTATGGTATTGTTCATACTCAACGTGGTTTTCTATTCAGCACAGTATTTGCTAATGGGACTTACTTCTGCAGTTGCTTTAAAAAACTTTTTTTTTTAATATAACTAGTCTTTATGTATATATTACAGATGCAGTCAAAGACAACTAATGATTTTAGAAAGTGTGTATTTTTTTTTGTAACCAAGGTTACTAAAAATACATTTGCGGCATGTGTTTAATGTGAACAGTAATTCCTTAAGAAAACAGAAACAAAACAAAAACCTTTCATGATATAAAAATCAGAATTAAAAAAATCAGAATTTAGTATTGCAATAAAAATTAAAGTTTCTATTCATAGAATTTAAGTTATTCTTACAATTTAAATCATTTAGAAGAAAAACAGTATTTAATTATTTAAAAAGTTGATGAGTCTGGATGAATTGATAACCTACAAAGGTAGGATGATGTGGAAAGTAACATTAAATGAATAAATTAAGAGACCAGAAAGAGAATTCCTTTTTAAAACAGAGGAAACCAAGTCAAGAGAAAGATCTGTAAAAGCAGTATAAAAACCTCAAAGAGCAAAGCACCACACATATGTGAATTTTTATCGTCTTGAATTCAGACCACATTCTGGTCGTCAAATGGCTTTGCATATTTAAGAAATTACAACCCATTTCTTCAATATGATACAGAGAAGGGTATAAAAAGATAATAAATATTGAAAGCCCCAATGTGAGAGTTTAAAACATCGCCTAATAGAAAGAACTGATTTCTAGTAATGCTAGAGTTTCTCAAATGCATTAAATACTAAAGCACAACAAGATGTTTATGGCAAAATTTATTAACATATATATAAGCCAAAATGCACTGGAATTTAAAAACAGTATTCTATAGCATTATCTAAAATAATATTTCACTAATTTTTTTTAGTGGTGTTCATTTTTATCAATAAAAATGTTTCAATCAACTTGCTTTTACTATTTTCCTTCTGGCCACGGTCAAGATATCCTGGAAGAAATCTAGCATAGCAATCTAGCCCCTCTTTAGAATGTGTTATTATTTTTATCTTACAGAATACAGCTGGCATTATGACTATAATTTTTTAAATGATGTATTTTTTCCTCGGACTAACAATGTACAATTTATATTTGGCTAAGAAAAAGAAAAAAGGATGAAATCACAGGCATCTAAAGTTAATAAGCAATATAAACAGTTATCCTAGTATATCACTTAGTTCAAAAAATGTCCTCTATATTGCTTATGTATTCATTCATTCATTCATTCAAAAGTGTTGAATGTTGTACTAAAAGTTGAGACATAACAATGAGTAAGACAGAATCAGCAACTGCCTTCAGAAAGCTTACAATTAAAGTGAAAAAGAAAATATATAAAACCCAGAGGAAGCAGGAGAAAGGACAGGTCAGGCAAGCGCTCCCTAATCTGAGCTAGAAAAGCTTCACAATATGAAGGAGCATCCATTCCGATGATGTGAGTCGAGAGTCAAAAAAAAAGTATGGTTCAGTCTAAGAACTAAAAAAGACTGGTGAGAATTTAAGCTGTAAATATTTGGTGGAGGCAAGTAATAGAAGGCCAACTAATTCACATTAGGAAATTTGGGTTTACCTCACTGTTAAAAAGGTATCGAAAAGCATATTCCTAGGTCATCTATGAAAAAACAAAATGAACCCACAAATTACATGCATTAATGATACACTGGAAATACCAGTTATGAAATTGAATTACAAAGATTAGCTTCAGAAGCACAGACTTAATCTAAGCCCTTTTAAATACTAACACACTGTTCCACGCATTCCGTGTGTTTTCTCTTTAAAATAAAAATGCTATATAGGTGATCTCATTTCTTGGTGTGGCAGTAATATTAAATTGCCTAATTTAAAGCTGTGCCCTCCACCCACTCCCAAATGAAAAATCAACGGTACTTACTACATCCAGCCTTATAGCTGAAGCCTGGAGGGAGGAGGAATCCTTGCTGGGCAGCTGCAGCCAGTGTCCGTTGATCAGGAGGGAATACGGGAATCATTAATGGCGGCAGCTGACCTTGAACCTGCTGAACGTGATAGAGCGAATCAAAGAGAAGAAGTTTCGATGCTCCATGCTTCTTCCCACCCTCCTTATTTCATGATAAAAGAAAATCATTTATTCGATTCCAAACAATAGCATAGAAGCTTGCTGGGATACTGGGATTGAGGATATGCTTTGGGACTACCTTAGGCATCAGAACTGGAAAATCCTAGAGCTGAAAGATATTATTAAGTCTATTCTCTAACATGATGAATAATTTCCCTAAATGATATCCTTGGCAGTGATGAAAATATCACTACTTTGCACGAAAAGCCTTTTTCTTATTGCACTAATGAAATGGCTAAAAAATTACCCCTTAGAATGAACTGAAATCGCCCTCTGCAAATCCTACTTGTTGGGACTCATTCTACCTTCTAAAACAAAACTCATTAAACCTGTATCATTTTACATATAAATAGCTCTTCATTCTTTGAGGACAAATTCTCCTGTTCACACATAATATTGAATTTTAAAATTCTCAAATATAGTAATAGACCTAAAAGAAAGCTTACAGAACAGCTAAAACTTTAGTCTTTTTTTTTTTTATAGATGAGGTAAGTAATGCCGAAAGACAACTGACTTGCCACAGAATTAGTTGGAACTGCATCTAGAATTCAGCCTCTTGAATCCTGCTACAGACTCTCTGTACTATATTTTTGCCTGTATCTATGCCTTTTGAAGCAATTGAATCACTCTTCAGACCACAGGGTCTCTGTTTTGGTTGTCTTCTTTGGAATGCACTCTAATTTGCTGGTCCGACTCTCAGAGTATGGGGTTCACATTAGTTAATAAATAATCCATCACAATGGAATCACTATTTTCTTCAAACTGAATAGGAATTTCTAGAAATATAACCTAATGTAGCCATTTCTGCAGCTTTGTCACATTATTAACTAATGCAGAGATTTGTCATTAACTAAAATACATTTTTTTGAATAAGTATTTAAGCAAATCTCCCTGGTGAAAATGATTAGTGGTTAGTGTTTATTGATGGATGGATATATGGATGGGAATTTGAGATCATGTTTAAAATTTCTGACAGTTTATTTCCTCCATTAGTTTTCCCACACATTGAGCAGTTATTTGTAAAATATTTAAATACCTACTACGTGCAAGAAACTGAACTAGGCAGTAGGGATGCAATAGTGAACAAGAAAACCAAAATCCCGCATCTATGAAGCCTTGATTATAATAGGGATGATGGTGGTGAAAAAGTAAAAGAATACATAAAAATAATCACATATTTATTCAGTCACTAATCTTAACAGCACCTCTGAATTATCTCTCAGATCTGTTTTCTTGTTTTCCCACTGGAATTACACATTCATAGGGTTCTGATGATTCTTACAGTTCTCATCATTTCTCACTTTAAAAGCCCACCTTCAATTTCTCCTTTATTTAATCTTCCACAGTAAACCTCTGAGCTATTTCTGAGATTCTGGTTGGTGAGTGAGGGGGCCAGTGAGGACTGAGAGAGGGAGAACGGGAGGAGAGGGAGGGTGAAAGGGAAGGCAATGTGTGTGTGGTAGCGGAGGTGGCGAGAGAGGGAGGGAGAAGAGCAATATGTCAATGGTAGATCTGTTTTCAGCAATGACACCAAATTAGAAAGCATTATACAGAGAAAGATTTATTGGGTTTATTGTCAACTGGTTATCATTTGTATATAAAGCACATTTGTTATGGCAGTTTTTATCTAGGTAATTTATACTTTAATAGTTTATAATATTCTTTCAGATAAAATTTTTAGTATTTTAAGGAATAAATTGCAGTGAATTCTGGAGCTTTTATTAATCTGTGCATTCTAAACTTTTGTCTTTTATGGATTAAAAATGCATTCTGTTTTAGTATAATTTTAGTGTCTACATTTTTCAAGATCCACTTGTAAAGAGCGACATAGAAATTTAAAGCTGAGAAAGACCCTCGAGATTATCAGCAACAACATAATCATCATGATGATGAGGAAATAAGACCTAGCTTGGCCAAATAAATTGTTCAAGATCCCATATTTAGCTGAAAGCAAACTTAATATTGGAACTGCATCTCCTGGTCAATCTAGTGAGGGGAAGTAGAAGAGAAAGAAACTGAAAGAGGAACCACAAGGTGGAAAAAAAGGAAGTAAATGAAAAACCTAATTTCACAGTCCCAATGATGGGTTTTTATTAGCCTATCACAGAACAGACTGTAGAGTACTATACTATTCAGAGTCAGAATAAAGTTAACAGTGAAATAAATACAGTCCAAAATGTGTGGTTAATCTATGTGAGCAACTAAAAACACATCTCAAAATATCGTTGATCCTGATTATTTGTGGATTCTGCGTTTGCAAATTTGTCTATTGGCTAACATTTACTCATAACCAAAATTAATATTGCCATTTGCAGATGTGCACAAAACAGTTAAGAATTTCTTGGTAATTTATTGTTGTTGTTTAACAAGGTCCTAAGCATAATGCTTAGGTGCTGTCTAGTATTTATGAGGCAAGAGGGCTGTGGTGTGACTTATGGAGAAGAATATGTGTTAGATAAACCTTGTTCAGGCATGAGTTATCCTGCTGTTGACTCTGAATTCAATGTTAATGAATAAATAATAAATATGAAACAAGGTATTTTTAAGCAAAAACCCATACACAACAAAGTTGCGTATTGATTAGCTGATGAAAATGTAACCAGAAGCTCCCAAGAACCTAACTATACTCCTTTAGGAGCAATTGTTCAGCATTCACTAATTCAATGTTCATAGCAACTTTATAGAACATAATACATGCAAATAATGAGCAGTGACTGTATTATTCCTATATCTTAACTGATTTTCATTGCACTGCTGCTGAAATTTAGCCAACATTTGTGAGAAGAGGACACATGATATCAAAACAATATGTTTTCTGGGTAGATTCTAAAACTAATTTTTTATAGGATTAGTAATTCCTTCTATACATTTTCTAGTTTTGAATATTTCCAAATCCTAATCATTGTTAATTTCTTTTTTTTCACCAAATGTATGAAATTTTCTTTAAACCAGTAATTAAAGTTGAAAATGTGTGACATTTATAATTAAGTTTCACCAAAATACTTTGACATAAATTTTTAAAGATACAGAGCATGTTATTTACAGCTTAAATAACTCATAATACGCATAAGGGGCTACTGCCTATATTTTTAAAACTTAAACAAAAAATCCTGCCTTAATGCTTTTTATGTGTCTACCTCAAGATAGTACATAGTCTCTAAAATGTTATGAATCCAATATGAATCAACTATATTATACCATTTATAAACAAGTATATACCTATCAGTTACTCACAGTCAAATAGTTTATATTTTATGTAAATGTTCTATTGTTGAAACATTCAATTGCTTCAAGGCATTAATACATTAGGTAGATTCTTAAGATTATTCAATCTGTATTTCCTTACAAATCCCTATTTATTAATTTATTAATTCAATCAACATTTGCTAAGTAGAATATGCATTTATTAATTCAATCAACATTTGCTAAGTAGAATATTTGTGGTAACTAGGAATTAAAAGATGAATTCACAGACATGACTACTCTCTAGGACCTCTGAATCTTGTGGGGCAAATAATTATAATTTATTGCTGTTAATTCAATAATACAGACTTGTACAGGCAGTACAGAAGAGAGGCTCCTAACACAGCCAGGAGAAGTCACTAAAGGCTTCATGTAAGCAGGTGCAGCAGGTATAGGGCCTGAATAGGTAATGAGCAGGGAGAGAGACATAAGAAAAGGAAGAGGGGCAAGAAAAAAACATCATGTGAAGGAGACACTACCAGCAGTTAGGAATGGCAAAAAATATAAAGAAAGCAGTGGTGACAAGTCTGCCAGAATCAGTTTATGCATCAGGGTAAGAAACTAGAGACTTCCCCTGTAGGCTGTGGGGAATCACGGAGAGATTAAATTAGGGTCCACGGAATACTCTGGTGGATATGGAAAAGAGATTGGAAAGGCCTAGCGTAGAGACCAAGTAGGAAGTTAATACAGAGGAACAGATTATGAGGGTTTGATTAGCAGTAAAACTGTACTGGATGAATCGAAAAAAAAAAAAAGAAAGAAATGTTTTTAAAAATTGAAGTAATCATAGATGAAAAAAATGACAAAATCAAATATAATGTTTATTTGATGTCACTCTACTTATAGTGGTATCAAACAACTAAAAAAATCAAAGTAGTAGTGGTAATTTTTAAGGAAAAATGATGACCATGGTTTTAGACATGATGAAATGAAATGAAACGAGGTGAGGTGGCTGAATGATGTTGCATTGGAGCTATGTTTCCAGCAGATAGACACTCCAGTCTGAAGCTGAGGGAAGAGATCTTCAGAGGCCATGGTTTTGGGAGTCAAAAGTTAATGAGAATAAACTAGACAATCTAGAAAAGGTCTAAAGGGCAAAGACGGGAACAGCTTAAAATCATCTGGGTTCCAACAACAGTTGAACAAAAGATGAAGGAAAGGAGCCTATTAGCAAATAAAATTTAAGTTAGATAAAAATTAAGAAAATCATGAAGAGTATAGTATAACAAAAGCCAAGGGAATTTCAAGATTGAAGGAGTCAACTAATTGTAAAAAAAAAAAGCAGAAAGTATTCTAGAGAATTTCAAAAATAACGTCTCTTGGAATGATTAGAAGATGAATTTATAATAACATCACTTCTATTCGAACAGAGGGTAGAAATCATGTTGCAAAAGGTTGAGCAACAGGCAGAGCACAGGAGAAAGCAAACGCAGACTATTTTTCTACGTTGAAAGTGAAAGTTGATAAGAGGTGAGGAGAGACATTGATAGCAACTGCAGAAAGATGTAAAGAGAAAGGCTTTTTTTTTTTTTTTTTTTTTTTTTCAGGCAGCAGAGTTCTGAGTACATTTATTGCCTGAAGGGAGCAAATAGAAATGGAGAGTTTTAAATGTAGGTAGGAGAGAAAGTAACCAAAATTCCAGAGGAGGCTAGAAGACAAGGCAGAGGTGGAGGGATT